ATAAACAAGTCAAACCAAAGCCACTTATACAAATAATAGAGAGTTGAAGTAATCACTGTACGTAGACCTCCACGTAGACGTTAACGTACGAAAAATAACGTTTACGAATTGTCGTTGAATTGAGTTGAAGTCGCCACTTTGGTCGTCACTGTCATCATAACGTAATAATACATTTTGTTTTCAGTTTGTATTGTTCATTTTTGGTTGTGTATTTAGATTCGAACATTTATTCCTGTCAAAATTAGAGGACTTCTTGATGCAGAACTCGTTGGTGATCTCGAATTTGATAATTATGACTCATCGGCATATTTCAAGTTTAGTTTGGTTAACGTACGTTGATATTTAAGGTATACGTGAAGGTACGTGAGATAACGTACACCCGTAAGTCCACTAACAACGCAAACGTGAAGAATTGCGCATGCGTAGCTGTCAATTTCTGCGTTTACGTTAACATTCATGACAACACTTTAACTCTCTAATCATGAAATGATAATAATCGACCGCTCTCTTGATTGACATATCATATACGTTAGATAGTGTATGATATGAATTCATAGGCTGTTGTGCACAAGAACAGTCTGAAGATCCCTACAATAGACAAGTGGACTAATTCTTTCTTCCATTCTCTAATAGAATCATCAAATACCTTTCAATTTCATATTATTTAGGAATTTTTTGGTCGATTTTTAGGTACTAGGAACATCAATAATGCCACGGTAGTTTTCAATAGCTAGAGTTTTACCGCCAGTAAATACTGACGCCACGATTTCGTAAGTAACAGCAGCCCAGCTGACGTCATTTGTACGTCAATATATGATCATTTATGGTAATTGACGTCATATGACCTCAAATGACGTCATCTAATGGTCATTATCATGACTAATTATGACCATTATTTATTGAGTCATCTACATCAAGAAAAATTCATAATCAAGAAGTTCTCCATCTTTGTTATATGAAAACGTTAGTAGTTATGTTATATAATATATATTATTATGTCACTCATTTTATATATTATGATTTATAATCACTTTTCCTCTAATCTGTGCGGGCTTTGTGTTTTCGATGGTCTCTGAGATAATTGTTGATTATATACCTTTTGTGCAAAGTATTCTTCCTATATCTATCAAAAATATCAGACCGAATTTCACGTCATGAAAATCTTATATTGTTGTTATTCCGCAATGCGAATTCAAATCAGAGCGGGAGAGTGCGTAGAAAACGTTGAATCAACGTAAATATTCCCATTGTGTAGAATGAAAGGCGTTATAAGCTGAGAAGGTGAAAGATGTGAAGGTAAAAGTTGTGATGTGAACTTACCATAACGGAATACAAAATCTTTAGTGAATCTAGCATGTTCAATACTATGGAAGAGCAAAAGATTCGCAAGAATCAGCTCGAATAAGATGAAGTTGAAATGAGTCCTAGAGGATGAAGTTCAAGAAACCGAGATCAAACATTTTATTCTTCTTTCGTAAAATTGTGTCACTGCAGAGTATTTCTATCCATCTTGTTTTGGGTTTAATCTTCAAAAAATCCGATGTTCGTGAAAGAACTTTCTGAAAATTCTGGAAATCATTTCACAGTCACAGCTGAGAAATGCCACATACAAGGTGAATTTTTTGATACTTATGAACTCAACAAGCACAATATCATGTCAATACCGAATATGGATTTTCTCAATCATTGTTAGTTCGTCAGTTGATTGATTAAAAATCCTCTTCAAATTGAATGAGCAGTGAAAATAATTGCCAAGTTTAACTGTGAGAACACTAACGAGCTTCTGAATTATTCGGCAGGGCTTGAATGAATATTACTTCATTAATCTTATGCTGCTTTCTCATAATTCCTCCAATAACTCTTATTCTAAAATAGGGTTTGCAGCAATCAATTTCTTTTGCTTGTGGAAAGTTCCTGAAATAAGCCAATCTATGAAATTTCAAGCACCCTAGATCTAACATCATTCTATCAACTCTGGAACACCTACTTGGGGAAATTCATTCTGATTCAGATATGCGAATAAAGTCAAAACAGATAAAAAAGAATCAAGAGCTTTTTGTTTCAGTTGTGAAACTGTACACTTATCAATGTCGTATACTTCGAGCATTCCTGTCTTCCTTTGGGGAATGTCATAGATGATAACAATCATAATTATTTCATTTGACTCCGAGTCGAGAGCCTTCGATATGATTAATCATGAAGTATCATCACCTGAATCATTGCAATTCCCTGAATTCTGAGAGCCTGTTTCATTAGTTAATTCATATTTAACTGAAGAAGAGTCAGAGGGTAATTTTGAAAAAAGTCTGGCGATATTTATGTCAACATTCGGAAACTTCTAGAGCTCTAGCCTGAAATAATGACAACCATCAAAAGTGCAGGAATTCAGTTTTTTAGAATAGTTCTTTATACACCAAGGTAGTAAAGAATATCAGTATAGCCCAGGGACCAAGATTATAAAGGTCCCAAGGTAAAAATATTCTTTCTCTACGACTATCGGATTCTACATTGATTACATATAGGTTAGTAATTGATGAATGAAGATGATTCCAAGACAGCGTGGATCCCAACTCATTATTCAACGGCACTCGACCAATCACAGATTCAGAATTTCCAGGATCCACAGCAACTGAAGAGGTTAGACTAATAAAAAACCAGCAAATCTACAAAACAAATTTTTCAAGAAGGCTCTGCTTCATTTTACGGGTCACGTCACGGCTTGACTTTCGCGAATGTCAGATTGACTTATAGAGTCTTTTAAGTTTTAACTTTGATATCTGGAGGATATAATGGAGGCTTGCCATTCCATAGGAATGTACTCTATGAATATTGAAGAAATTCAAGATCTTGGATCTCCATGGATGATAACTATTCCTGGGACCAAAACAAAAATTGTATGGAGGTTCACTGTAACCGGGAAATTTTATCAATTTCGTAAAAAGTACATTGATATACGAGCAGCAAATGTTGGGATTTCCAATTTTTTCATGAATTACCAAAAAGGAAAATGTACTCTTTAAAAAATTGGAATTAATAAGTTTGCAGCAATGGGAAAACAAATAGTTACATTTTTGAAGCTACCAAATTCCGAGATGTACACCGGGCATTGCTTTGCTTGTCAATGCAGGTGGAGGTATAACAGCATTGAAAAGACATGGTGGCTGGAAGAGCACATCGGTGGCAGAAGGATTTCTAGAAGATTCCATGTTGAATAAAAAAAAACGGCAGATTCGAATTCTTCAATCGTACAATGTTCATCATCATCAAATAACAGTTCCTTCACACAAAAAACATCACCTAGCAATATGAATCAAAATGTCAGTGTTGATTTAAATGCAACACCAACAGTAAAATTTCACGAATTGTGAGAATATCACTAAAAATTTAGTCACTAAGTACGAGAAACATAATTTACGTACCTAATAATTATTGTGTTGTTTCATCATTGAGTTCGTTGAATATTAAAGATTCCTGTCAATTGTATTATCATAATCATTAAAATTCATACATCAAGTATATCATTTTCATAAATAATAATTAGATTACATTAAATTTCTGACTATCGTATAGTCGTAGAGAAAGTATAGTCTTCTACTCGCGTATAATAGCTATTATTCTCTCGGATAATTCCGAAACTCGCCTATGGCTCTTTCCGGAATCATATCCTCGGGAATAATAGCTATCATTATACGCTCGTTGAAGAATATACTATTACTACCAAGGTGTAAATTGAATTTTTTTCACCACTAGCAATACATTTCAATCACTTCAGTTCTCTGAAACTGAAGTATGAACCTATTGTCACTATGAAGGCACTTCTTTTCAATAATTTGATCAAAATTTAGTAGTCATCATGACTATGACCATGACTTGCATCAGAACTGTGAATTCAGGTTAATTATTTTAACAGAGGTGGCTATGTCTTAATTAAATAATGGTTAATAAAATGACTAGAACTACCTTGGTAGTAAAAACACACTTTACACCTCGAAATGGAGTAAATAATGGTTGGTTTTATAGCTAGTGGTGGAAATATAATATTATCAAATATGTACACTGGATTTGCTAAGCTTAAGGCGTTTCACATAGACCGAAGAGCAGCTCTAGAAATCATTGAGTAGGGCCGCTTTTATTCACATATTATGTTTTCACCTTTCCTGGAAAACTTTCAACGTTGTAAAATCTATCCAAATTCAAGTGACTGCACGTAAAGCTGTAGACACTCCAATTGATTTACTTTGGATAAACTATATAACACCATTTGTATGCTTATGGTTCATCTTACTTCCAATGCCTTGGACTAAGTATACTATGGTGTCACTGCGACGACGTATTTTTCCAAAGCAAACTTGATTGAAAGGAAAATTCGGATTTCGGTAGAGTTTTGGGAGACCAAAATTTCAAAAGGAATATCCTCAGATAGATTATGAGCATGAAAAAATGAAAATATACAGTGTGTCCCGCTTTTCATGAATACACACCCTGATATCTCTGTTACTCTGTTATTATTGGTGCGATTCTCTTGAAATGTTTGTAGTGATTGTATGTTAGAATAAGGAAGTATTTAGCAGGATGAACAGTTTCATTCACCATTGGCGTGCGATGTTGTGGAGTACAAAAAAAGGTCGTTATTTGGAAAAAGGATATCAGGACTCAATTTAGATAACTTTTTTATCAGATTCATAATCAGCATCCCAAGAGCAAAAATAAAATATTTCAAAATCCCGCTTTTAATGACAAACCCTTAAATCTCAGTTATCAACGGTGCGATTTTCTCGAATTTTTGATGGTGATTGTATGTTAAGATGACATACAATCACCATCACAGTTTCGATGCCATTTTATAATATACGTCGAAATCTTCGAAGATTCAGATACAACGATTTATGAGTGTTAGTTTTTATATGAATCAGATCTTCCTGCGATTTCTTGAATGTCTCATATCAGGAACCTGATATTGAACCTTATGACCAATATATTTAATGGACTTTTTTTTACAGCAATAATGCGACAAACATCATCAAAATCAATAAAATCCGCAAAAGTATTCTGGACGACATTGTTAGCTTGCTGTCTTCAAGTCACATTCATAGATATAGCCCAAGCAGAAGCATCAGCGAATCCTAAAGTCGATGATGATAGTTTTCAGGTGAGTACAATGATATGACCGATATACATCGGATTTTCTCGACAAGTTGAGATTTTTGAAAATGTGATTCAATTATTAGATGTTCAACAATGTCAAAGCTGTCAGTTGATAAGGCAGTTAGTTCATAAGTTTTAGGAAACTGATTCAACGTTGAATAAACGCGTCCCCGACCATCGAAGGTCTGCGTGAACCAATGAAAATATTGAGAGAGTGAGAGGGTCTGTTCGCGAGGCAAGGGACCCTCTGTGAACGACGAGTGAGGCAAAAATATTGTTTAGGCAACCCGCAGTGTTTACGGATACCTATCTCTCTCTATCTTATGTTCGCTAATGGGATGCGCTCGCATTATTTGAAATATTTTCTCGTTTTTTGCTTTTATTTAAGATTAAACGTGATAAAATAAAAATATTCATATAGAAAAAAGAAAAATGGTGCAATCAATTATCATTAAAAAATTATTATTGATTTTTTTATTGACTTGAATGAAATTTCATTTTTTTTCTTACAGGATTAGGAACTCAAATCAATACAAAATTTAAGTCATATGTTTTCATTCAAATGTCACGATATATTGTACAGGGTGAGCGAAGCACAATGCCTTAGCACTATCAGAAGGAGAAGAAGAAAAACGATAGGGAAAATTTGAAAAGAGGTTCTTGAATGGTATTGACTACCTAAGAGGTCCATTTTGAGCATAATTTCCATATGTTCCTATTTTACCATTAGTTCACTGCCTACAAACATATCCCTATTAGAAATTGAAGAGAATACAATTCTCAATACAATATCCTTCTCCAATGGAACAGTCTGGGTTTCTTTATTGATGAAATTCGAAACTTGGGAGCTGGAAGTCATAGGTAAAGTCCATAATATGAGAAACATCTTCCTTAGGACCCAATGTTATGAACTTCCACAGATGCATCCTGAAAATGAATTACTAGCTATAGTTTTATTTTTATTTTAAAGAGGTGCAAACATTCTTTTATTTTTCATTATTAATCAACTAGGTACCTGAGAGATTTTTTATTTTCCTTCAAGGATCAGTATTTTTTGATAACGAATGCTTAGGAAATGGAAATATCCTGGGTACAGCATCTGATTTCAATAACCTAGCAGTACCTAGTATGTCTAAATAAAAAATCAGTTGGCAGGAAATGCTCTCCACAAAGCTTTTGCTGGTTTTAGATGGAGTCCAACTCTCTCTACGAACTGCCTCAATCCATAATTCAAGAATGTCTGAATGAAAAACTGCAACAAATAATATTACTTAAAATGTTTATGGAAAAGTCATGGAAGTATTTAACTTTGACAAATAATATAGGTATAGGTTTTGAACATATTCTGAGACTGGGAACATTGTACACCTAACTGATGATCATTTAAAGAACTATATTTTCCAAAAATCTGAACAATATTGAACTCACCCATGGAATGACAATTTTATTTTGTCTTGTTCGTTCTTGTATCCAAAGGAGACACAATAAATCACCATTGTTTATCAAAACCTTCTCAACAATCAGTTCACAGTGTTCACATCAACAAATTCAGTTCTTTCCATAAAACAAAACACGCCAAATGGATAGATATTTCACATGAACAAAGACAATGAACTTTTGCCTGTTTAGATGAGAGAAAAAAATCGAAAGTTCAATAGTTCAATCTAATAAAAATATGACACAATAAATATCGATAAATTCACCCACTGTGACGCCACTGGAAATATTATTTCGAATCTAATTGCACCAGAAGGAGCTCTATATCACTATTAAAAAAATTACGAAGGTTTATTGGAATTGATCGAAAGACAATTGTGTAATGACTTGAATAAGGATTTTCCATGGAAATATTAATACCCGGTATCTCGAAAACGAAGCAAGTTAGGACTTATGTTCATATGAGCTTTATTTACTTAAATATCACAAGGAATCGCTCCTTGAATTTTTTCAGTGTTATTCAGATACTTATAAAGGGTGTCAATTTGAAAACTTCCCACCCTTAATATCTCCCTCCAAGTCGATAATATGGAAAAACGAAAAGACAGGTCGATTTTATTTTCGAGGGGGACATGGTTCTAAAATATTTTCAGCCCCGCGGCGTTGCCGCTTCTAACGAAAAGAAGCAACAACTTTGTTATTTCAAATGGAACACCCTGTATTTTATTGCATTTTTAGATTCTCCCTGAAAAGCTGATTTCATCAATGTATCTCACTTGGGGTCTAGCAGGAATGATTACAGAGATATAGGGTGTTCAAAATCGAGATTTTACAACTTTAGGATTTTTTTGAGTCGAAACTATTCATTATATATATCCACAGCTTAATTACCTTCATTAAGAAAAATGAAGCTTCAATATCAAATAATGGTGAACATCACAGATATCCGACGAGAAATGGGGATTTATTAAAAATGTCGAAGCATAGAACCAAACTTTTCGGAAAATCACCCATTTTCATAGGATCCAAAATTTTCAACTGTCTGCCCATCGAGATCAGGTCTCTGTCAAATCCGAAAAGCCTCAAGCAAAAGACGAGACAATTTCTCAGTGATCAGGGATTTTATTCCATTGACGATTTTATCAATCATAAAAAATACATTATAAATAAATAAGATGATGTATTCTGTATATATATTTGCATATATTTTCATGTCATTTATATACTATTTTGTTTCGTACAGTTTGTTTGTTATTTATTAATACTTCATGTGAATGTATATCATGCTTTTTTCATGGTTTTGTTGACTTTTCCTATACCAATGTAATTTGGTCTATTGGATGAATAAATATTCTATTCTATTCTATTCTATTATTGGTCAAAACGGCTTTTATGTCCCTATCTCAACTTTTGATTTACTATCTACTGACATTTGTTTGAAACAAATACAGGGTGATCAAAAGTCTGAATCTTGAACCACCCTGTATTTGTTTCAAATAAATGTCAGAAGATAGTAAATCAAAAGTTGAGATAGGGACATGAAAGCCGTTTTGACCAATAATGAATAGTTTCGACTCAAAAAAATCCTAAAGTTGTAAAATCTCGATTTTGAACACCCTATATCTCTGTAATCATTCCTGCTAGACCCCAAGTGTGATGCATTGATGAAATCAGCTTTTCAGTGAGAATCTAAAAATGCAATAAAATACAGGGTGTTCCATTTGAAATAACAAAGTTGTTGCTTCTTTTCGTTAGAAGCGGCAACGCCGCGGGGCTGAAAATATTTTAGAACTATGTCCCCCTCGAAAATAAAATCGACCTGTCTTTTCGTTTTTCCATATTATCGACTTGGAGGGAGATATTGAGGGTGGGAAGTTTTCAAATTGACACCCTGTATGATATTTTTTCCCATACCAAGCCTATACATTCTTTTTACACCTTGCGGAATAACCCTAGTAATCCAGAAGATCAGGACAACATGTCCTCTTGCTATAACCCGAATTCGAAGAACACGAAACGAATTTCCTGTTTTGACACGATGTAATACAGGAGAAAATTGTGAAATCCGAAAGTTTTCCGCAGTATCTAATCTAGTTTCTCGACCAACTTGGAGGCATGTCCAATTGTCCATACTACACAAATATAACATCGTGCCGAATCGAACGAATGTCAGAAGGAGAACATCTCCAACTTCTATGAAGTCTAATATCTCTTTTACCTCAAAGCAGAGATCTCAAAGTATATACCAAGAGCCCTTACATGACCTTTGGTCAATATTAAATGAGGGTGTACACACTTGTCGAATTAATGCCACATAACTATTTTATATTGATCGTTCCATGTATTATTCAGACAACCTATCAGCAACGCTGAGAGATATCAATTGGATGTCCATAGGATGTCCCAGGGACGTACGAATTATTCTTGAATTTGAATTTGTCTGGGTCACTTTAGGACCAGATCTTGCATAACTGATTAGGACATCCAGTTGAGTTAATGGTTCGTAGAAGGTCCCCAAAAAGTTTCCCAAGGATGTCCAATGGACATTGACGAGGAGTACTTATAGCCTACGAGCAATCATTCGTCGGCGAGGTGTACGTTAAAATCCTCGCAGGGACAACATATTGAAAGTACCGACTAGGACGTCCATAGGACGTTATTTCTAGGACATTGGAAGAGTACAGTTTATGTACCAATTGGGACATCCAACGGACATTCGAAGGACGTTTCTTAGGGATATTTCGATTGTTATATACTGGAAATATTAAGGGCGCCTGTGCAAAGATATTTGAAGGAATGTACCATCAGGGTCATTTCATGGTTGTCTAGAAGGGACATTATATCAGATCTGAAGTCATGCCAGTATATGTACTACTCGGAAAGTTCAAAATCATATCCCATCAGGGACATGCCAAGGACGTCCTTGCATGGGCATTCTACAACATGTACCAAATGGGACGTCTAAATGATGCCATTTTCAGGATATTTGAAATGATGTACCAGCTGGGACATTCCGTGGACGTCCTTGCTCGGACATTGCATGAGATGTACGGGATGGGACGTCCCAAGGACACTTATTTTTGGTTCGGGACATTCGGACGTGAATTGTGCCAAATAGGTACGTCCCTAGGACGTTGTGTGCTATTAGGGTTGTCATAACTTCCAAACCAAATGTAATGAATTTTTGGTCGTGGTCATATTTTGTAGCTCTATATTAGTAGTTCCAACTTTGAGAGTGGCCAAAAGCTGAAGGCATTCTAAATCCATTTCCGTTTTTTTTTTAATATAGGTTGGCCAAAGTAGTCAGACAACAAACTTAGGACACTTTGATCACACATTGATTTTAGTTACCAATCTCTTATTGATAATGAGAAAAACAATAGGATTTATAATGGTTGCTGCTGGATGCTTAATAACAAATTGCATGCTGTAAATATCAATTTCTCAGTCCATATGATCTATCAAAAACGTTGAATGATCACATTGGAGAGATGATTATTATAATAAGGCAATTGTGAGTAAATAGAACAATTATTAAAACAGTCCAGAGTGCCGAAGTCAACCCCA